CAAGAGAGAGAAAGAAAGGGTATTCAAATAGGAAGAGAGGACGTCAGTTATCTCTGTTTGCAGACGACATGATTGTGTATTTAGAAAACATCATTGTCTCAGCCAAAATACCCTTAAGCTGATAAGCAACTTCAGCAAAGTCTCAGGATACAAAATCAATGTGCAAAAATCATAAACATTCCTGTACACCAATAATAGAGAGCCAAGTCATGAGTGAATTCCCATTCACAATTGCTGTAAAGAAAATAAAATACCTAAGAATACAACTTCAAGGGATATGAAGGACTTCATCAAAGAGAGCTACAAACCACTGCTCAAAGAAGTAAGAAATGACACATATAAATGGAAAACCATTCCATACTTATGGATAGGAAGAATCAATATTGTGAAAATGGCCATACTGCCCAAAGTAATTTATAGATTCAGTGAAATCCCCGTCAAGCTACCAATGGTTTTCTTCACAGAATTAGAAAAACCTAATTTAAATTTCACATGGAACCAAAGAAGAGCACATGTAGCCAAGACAATCCTAAGCAAAAAGAACAAAGCCAAAGGAATCACCTTACCTGACTTAAAACTATACTACAAGGCTACAGTAACCAAGACAACATGGTACTGGTACCAAAACAGATATCTAGACCAGTGGAACAGAACAGAGGCCTCAGAAATAATGCCATACTTCTACTGCCATTTGATGTTTGACAAACCTGACAAAAACAAGCAATGGGGAAAGGATTCCCTATTTAATAAATGGTGCTGGGAAAACTGGCTTGTCGTATGCAGAAAGCTGAAACTGGATCCTTTCCTTAAACCTTATACAAAAATTAATTCAATATGGATTAAAGACTTAACCATAAGATCTAAAACCACAAAAACCCTAGAAGAAAACCTAGGCAATACCTTTCAGGACATAGGCATGGGCAAAGACTTCATAACTAAAACACCAAAAGCAATGGCAATGAAAACCAAAATTGGCAAATGGGATCTAATTCAACTAAAGAGCTTCTGCACAGCAAAAGAAACTAACATAGAGTGAACAGGCCTCCTACAGAATGGGAGAAAATTTTTGCAACCTATCCATCTGACAAAGAGCTGATATCTAGAATCTATAGAGAACTTAAACAAATTTACAAGAAAATAACAACCCCATCAAAAAGTGAGCATAGGATATGAACAGACACTTCTCAAAAGAAAACGTTTATGTGGCCAAAAAAACATGAAAAAAAGCTCATCACTGGTCATTAGAGAAATGCAAATCAAAATCACAATGAGATACCATCTCACACCAGTTAGACTGGCAATTATTAAAAAGTCAGGAAACAATAGTTGCTGAAGAGGATATGGAGAAATAGGAATGCTTTTTTACTGTTGGTGGGAGTATGAATTATTCAACCATTGTGGAAGACAGTGTGGCAATTCCTCAGGGATCTAGAACTAGAAATACCTTTTAACCCAGCAGTCCCATTACTGGGTATATGCCCAGAGGATTTAAGTTATTCTACTGTAAAGACATATGCACACCTATGTTTATTGCAGCACTGTTCACAGTAGCAAAGACTTGGAACCAACTCAAATGTTCCTCAATGACAGACTAGGTAAAGAAAATGTGGCACATATATACCATGCAATACTATGCAGCCATAAAAAAGAATGAGTTTATGTCCTTTGCAGGGATATGCATGAAGCTGGAAACCATCATTCTCAGCAAACTAACACAGGAACAGAAAACCAAACACCGCATGTTCTCATAAGTGGGAGTTGAACAGTGAGAACACATGGACACAGGGAGGGGAACATCACATACTGGGGTCTGTCGGTGGGTAAGGGAATAGCATTAGGAGAAATACCTAATGTAGATGATGGGTTGATGGGTGCAGGAAACCACCATGGCACATACATACCTATGTAACAAAGCTGCACGTTCTGCACATGAATCCCAGAACTTGAAGTATAATAAAAAATAATAATAAAGTGCTACTCTAGGGAACCCACAGATGGTAAGAAAGCACAACAGCCTTATTACTGATAAGAAGGTTTCAGCGGTCTAAGTAGAAGATCAAACCAGCCAGAACATTCGCTTTTACCAAAGCCTAATCCAGAGCAAGGCCTTAACTCTTTTCTTTTTTTTATTTATTTATTGCATTTTAGGTTTTGGGGTACATGTGATGAACATGCAAGATTGTTGCATAGGTACACACATGGCAGTGTGGTTTGCTGCCTTCCGTCCCCTCACCTGTATCTGTCATTTCTCCCCATGCTATCTCTTCCCACCTCCCCACCCCCCCACCCCTCCCCCTATTTCCCCCAATGGACCCCAGTGTGTAGTGCTCCCCTCCCTGTGTCCATGTGTTCTCATTGTTCAACACCCACCTATGAGTGAGAATATACGGTGTTTGATTTTCTGCTCTTGTGTCAGTTTGCTGAGAATGATGGTTTCCAGGTTCATCCATGTCCCGACAAAGGACGTGAACTCATCGTTTTTGATGGCTGCATAATATTCCATGGTGTATATGTACCACATTTCAACAATGTGATGGCTTAGAGAGGTGAGGAAGCTACAGAAAAAAAGTTGGAACCTAGTAGGCTTAAAAAAGAAGCCATCTCCATAACATAAAAGTGCAAGGTGATGCAGCAAATGCTAACAGATAAGCTGCAGCAAGTTTTACAGGAGATCTAGTTCAGAAAATTGATGAAGGTGTACACACTAAACAGATTTGCAGTGTACAAGAAAAACCTTCGTTTGGAAGAAGATGCCATCTAGGACTTTCATAACTAGAAAGAAGGTGTAAAAATGCCCGGCTTCAAAGCTTTTAACAACAAGCTGACTCTCAGGAGACTGAAGTGGGAGGATCACTTGAACATGAAAGGTTGAGGCTGCAATGAGCTATGGTTCTGCCACTGCACTCCAGCCTGGGCAACAGAGTGAGACCCCATCTCAAAAAATAAAAAATAAAAAATAAAAAATAAAAAGTCTTTCTTATTAGTAGTTAATGCAGCTGGTGACTTTAAATTGAAGCTCATTTATTATTCTGAAAATCCTAGAGCCCATAAGAATTATGTTAAATCCACTCTGCCTTTGCTCTGTAAATGGAACAAGAAAACCTGGATGACAGCACATCTGTTTAAAGCATGGTTGACTGAATATTTTTAAACCCGCTGTTGATACCTTCTCTCTGAGAAAAAAGAAAAAAAAAAAAGATTCCTTTCAAAATAGTAATGCTCACTGAGAATTCACCTGGTCACCCAAGAATTCTGAAGGAGATGTTTTCATGCCTGCTAACAGCCATTCTTCAGCCCATGATTCAAAAAGTAGTTTTGGCTTTCAGTCTTATTGTTTAAGAAATACACTTTGTAAGGCTGCAGCTGCCATAGATAGTGATTCCTCTAATGAATCTAGGCAAAGTAAATTGAAAACCCTGTAGAAAGGATTTACCATTCTAGATGCCATTAAGCACATTTGTGATTCATGGGATGAGGTCAAAACTTCTACATTAATAAGAATTTGGAAAAAATTGATTACACCCCTTGTAGATGACATTGAGGGGTTCAAGACTTCAGTGGTGGAAGTAACAGCAGATGTGGTGGAAATAGCAATAGAATGAGAATGAGAAGTGGATCCTGAAGATGTGTCTGAACTGCTGCAATCTCATGATTAAACTTTCATAGATGAGGAATTGCTTCTTATGGGCAAGCAAATAAAGTGGTTTCTTGAGATAGAATCTGCTCCTGGAGAAGATGCTGTGAACAATGTGGAAATGTCAATAAAGAATTTAGAATATTCCATAAACTTGATCAATAAATCAGCAGCAGGATTTGAGAGAATTGACTCTAGTATGGAAAGAAGTTAAACTGTGGATAAAATGCTGTGAAATAGCATTGTATGCTATAGAGAAATCTTTTGTGAAAGGAAGAGTCAATTGACAAACTTCAACAAACTTCATTGTTATCTTTTTTAAAAATTGCCTCAACCCCTCACCCTTCAGAAGCTACCATCCTCATCAATCAGCAGCCACCAACCTTCCACCAGTACAAAGATTATCACTTGCTCTAGGCTCAGGTGATCATTAGCCTGTTTTGTCAATGAAGTGTTTTTAATTAAGCTATGTACATTGCTTAAGACATAATTCTGTTGCATACCTAATAGCCTACAGTATACTATAAACATAATTTTGTGTGTGTACTGGGAAACCAAAAAAATCATGTGACTTGCTTTATTGCAATGATGTGGAGTTGAACCTTTCAGCATCTCAGAGGCATACCTGTACTACACTTTCACCATAGCCAAACTTACCTGCTGCTGTTCTCTCATAAGCACCCTATGCACATCTTCCCTTCATTGTGTTTCCTCCATATCCCCTTCCCAGAACATCTTCCTTTTCCTTTGTCTTATATAAAATTGATTCTGAGAAGCCTTTCCTGAATTTCCCAGCCCTCGGCGACCTCCTAGAAGTTGTTTTCAAACTTCTAGAACACTGGTCTGCACCATGAATTTAATGTATGTAGTGTTATAGCGCTGTCTCACTAAGTCTTTCCCCCACTATCTTAAAACTATGTTGGAGGATTCTGGACAGCAAAGACATTATGTCATGCTTCTTTTTATTTCCAGCATTTAGCTCATTGTAGATGTGTAATAAATATTAACTTACTAGCATATCAGTTATCTTGTGTGACCAAGCAAAAGGGTCAGTAATTTTTTTATTATCTTCAGTATCTTTTTGATGGACAAATATTTCACTGGTTTTAACAACATTGGAGACTTAAACTGTTGTAGAGTAGATTTGGGTGTGTACTGCTCTGTGGTCTCTGGGGCTAGTTTTCAGTCTTTGTACCCATTGGAATAAATATAATGCTTCTTGAAATTTGGCATCTCTTCCTCTTTGAGTGCTTTCTATTTCCCTTTAAGATGTTTAAAAATACTGTAAGAATCAGTGGTCTTTCTGTGGCTAGTAGTGGGACTGAATCAATCTCTTCTCCTCTGGTTTCTCTTCCTTTAAATACAGATAAAGAAGAAGTGCAGAGGAAACGACAAAAGCTCATGCCCAATTTTTCGGATAGTTTCGGCGGTGGTAGTGGTGCCGGAGCTGGAGGCGGAGGCATGTTTGGTAGTGGCGGTGGAGGAGGGGGCACTGGAAGTACAGGTCCAGGTACAAAAATATTTATTCTAAAACTTTTTCCATATTGGAGAGGGTAGAATTTTCCTTTCTTTAGTTTCTGAGCATGTCTGTGAGTTGAGTGGCTGTGATATTATTGAATATATTAATTTAAATTTTCTGAAAAATGTAAATTTATTTTTCAAAGAAATCCATGTTCATTTTACAATATGTAGATAATCCCAAAAGCCATAAGCAGAGAAAAAAGTATCCCAAAGCCAGTTATCTAATGATACCTCCCTAAACATTTTAGTATATTTCTCTTTTACATTTTTTGACATAGTCATTTTTGTTTGGAAACACTGAAAAGATTTCATATTATGTATAGAATATAGATATATATTAAACATCTCTATATTTTATGTTGTAGAAAATTTGAAAATACGTAAAATCTGTCATCAAAGGTTAACTACTTTTTCATGTATGTTATAGTAGATATTTATGAATTTTCCCCTATATCTACTATATTCATAAATAGTATAGTAATATTATATAAATAGTATAGTAGATATACTATATATACACTGTATAATATACTAGATATGTATACTATATAATAGTATATAGTAGTCTATATACTATTAGTTTACTAGATATATATACTATATAGTATATATACTATATTATATAATAGTATATAGACTACTATATTATATAATAGTATATAGACTACTATATACTATTACATAGTATATATATCTACTGTAATAGTATATTAGTGTGTATGCTATTATATAGTATATATATATACTATATATAGTATACTATACTATATATTACATAGTATATATAGTAGATATACTATATTATATATACTATTATATAAATAGGATAGTAGATATTCATACTATATGTATTTACTATACTATTTATGAATATAGATGTTTATGATATTTATGAATACAGTTGTGATCATTATCCATATTATTTTAATCCATTTATTTGTAATACTGTTTTACTATCATTTGCACCATGTGTATAGTCATATGTGCAGCATTTACCTGAGATGTTAACATAAACACTTCCCCCAGTTATGAACTTTACATAAGCACACATTGTAAGCATCATTTTAATGACTCATTTCCTCAAGTGAACAAACCATAGTATAACTTACTTAAATGTAGTTTCCTGTTTTCTATGTAAAATGCTATACTGAATCCCTATTCACATAACTTTTCATTTATTCCAGATTACTTTAGTAAATTAGAGTCTTTGAAGTAAAATTACTGTCTCAGAGGGCATGACATCTAATGCCAGCTGCTTCCCCAAAGAGTTGTACCAGTTTATGCTTCCACCAAAAATGCCTAAGAATGAACAGTGGTGGCCATTTTTCCACTGAGGAGTCAGTGTGTTTTTCTGTGTTTTGTTTGATTTAGTTTTTTTCCTCCAGGGGTTATTTTAATGTCTTCTACATAGGCAAGTGTGAGTTTGGTTGGTGACCCTCACTATTAGCCTCTCTCCTTCATTAGGAGTGGAGGCTTTCTCTATCACAACCCCTCCTCAAATCTGTGGTGTTGTCAGAGTTGTCAAAATGTAAACTTTAACAAGTGGAATTCTGATGGTCCCATGACTCCCACCATGTGTCTTAGTCTTGACAGAAACACCACGTATGGGCACAATACTCTCCTTTCACACCAAAGGCTGTGCTCACCTGAGAGACAGACGCTAAGTTTTGCTGAGTCTTTGTAAAGTATCTTCATGATATTTCCTTTGTTTTACTTGCCATTTCAGGGTATAGCTTCCCACACTATGGATTTCCTACTTATGGAGGGATTACCTTCCATCCTGGAACTACTAAATCTAATGCTGGGATGAAACATGGTAAGTAATGCTTTTTTCTTAATACCAAGGAAGGAAAAAAAATAATTAATGCTTAAAAAAGTTTTCTACATCATTACTTATCACAACAATGTCATCATCTTGAAAAATAATTGAGGAATGCAAATAAACTAAGAAGATACTTTTTCCAAAAGATATTATTTCCTGTGGCTAGTGTAAGCTCTATTCCTTGTGTCTATTTTATATATTTACTTTGTAAGTGGCATGAACTGAGGAAAGAACATTGAAAAGAGACATACAGAGACCTGACTATTCAAACATTGTAAAAATCACCAAACTTATATATTCTCTTTTTTCCTCAAATAGTATGTACACTTCTGAAATCATTTTTGAGTTTTATGGGATTGGTCTTTTCCCATGAAGTTATCTGCTTAGAAGCTGCAGCTACACCATCTGTTGATAGTTTATATTACAGGTCTGTTCTAGTGTACCTATGGAAGAAATAATACTGTAAAGAAGTCTTCCCACTTACTGAATACCTGTTTTTGTGCCAGGGGCTTTTACATGTTTTAACTGTTATCTTCATGATTTCTCTGTATGAAAAATATTAGTATCTCCATTTTGCACACAAAAGGCACCAAACTTCAGAAATGTTCATACTCACTGAAGGCACACAGAAGTTAGTGGCAGAGTAAGAATTTGAGGCAGGTCGCCCCATAAAAGCTAGATGCTGTCATAGTACCTATCAGATAAAGTAGCTGAACCTGAAAGAGCATGATCAGAAATGGTACACTGGATAGCTCCCATCACTAAAGAATGTACATTTACAGCACATCTTTATGAGTTGCTTTGTTAATTAGCATCAGGAAAAAACTGCTCTGCTTTCAAGAACTTTAAAAATTCAGCTTTCCTGCAATTCACAGAAGAGCTTTATTTCATTTTTCTCCTTTACAGATAAGCAAAATGAGATCTAAGATTTCAGAAGTAGACTGAAAAATTATTTTTAGGAATGAGAGTTTAGAATATCATCAAAACATAGTATTTATGATGTGGCCATTTTTAAAAGAATTTCAAATTATTTCTTTTCCCTTTTCAGCAAATTTGCTTCTAACCTTTATCTGACCTATGTTGGGATAGTGAATTGTCAATTAATATATTTTACTGAGAAAAAGCTGATGTGTTTGCATTTATCTTAGGAACCATGGACAGTGAATCTAAAAAGGACCCTGAAGGTTGTGACAAAAGTGATGACAGAGACACTGTAAACCTCTTTGGAAAAGTCACTGAAACCACAGAGCAGGATCAGGAGCCCGGCAAGGCCACCGATGGGAATGGTGAGGTCACTCTAACATATACAACAGGAACCAAAGAAGAGAGTGCTGGGGTTCAGGGTAAGTGAGCACATAAGTGACGTTCTGTTGGTTGGCTGGGGACGGTCAGTCCTAGGTGTAGAAAGATATCTGCTAATCTAAAGATGATGTATCAATATCTAGTTCAGTGTACTCTTCAAAGTTATGTATGCCTTTTGAAAAGCATGTGTCAGATCATTTTATTCACACTGGGATTTCCATTTTTGCTCTGTTATCTTTGAATATACAGAAATTTACATGTACACTTTCCAGTCATAATCATGCAGTTTTAGGGTACTGTGAGAGAGAATCAGCTTCTTTTCTGGCACAGATAAATAGAGAAGTATTTCTATAACCTTAATAGTCACCCTCTCTAGAATCTGGCTTAACCATCATACTGAAGTAGAACTTTGCCTTAAAATAGGAACTTTTCTTTTTATCTTGTTGCCTTCTTTGAAGAAGTAGGATTAGGAGAAAATGTACTTCTGAGTTTACTCTGAACCAATACTTATTAGCATATGTGTCATGATTCTAGATCATCCTAGGTCGTACTAAGAAGACTCCTGTAAAAGGAAAGATAGTAAATATTTAGAGTTGGTGGCCACATTTGGTGTCTGTCACATAATCTTTTTTCTTTTACACTCCTATAAAAATGTACAAGCCATGATTAGCTAGGAAGCCATATGAAAAGCAGGTCGTAAACAGGTTTTGGCCCAAAGGTCACAATTCTCTAACCTTAATGGAACAAACTTTACAAAAACATGAGTGTCTCATTGCAAGTTTCTGTTTATGGCAGAGACGTGTGTTTTTCCACACATTGCCTAACAAGCTAACTGTTAGAAATTCCAATGAAGGATTATTTCACGAAGAGATTGGTGATTTAAAATTACGGTAAAATCTAACATTATTTGGAGATTGTTTTCCTTAAAATAACGGACATTGATTGTTCACCTTAAAATAACAGACATCTCTAAATTTTTTTCTTCTAACAAACTATACACAGATTCTTTAAGGTCAATCTCTAACAATATGTGTCAGTGACCCAATGTCCAATTCTGCTTTTTCTACTCAACCCAATCCAAAAGCATTGAAAGGAGCATTTTCAACTAAAGTGATGTGTTAAGGTGTCAGAACACCAATGCTGGTCAGTCTGGCCTCAAGCATGCCTTACTGATAAAAGAAGGAAACTCAACTGTGATTGTGGTCATTGCCTTACAGATAACCTCTTTCTAGAGAAGGCTATGCAGCTTGCGAAGAGACATGCCAATGCACTTTTCGACTATGCAGTGACAGGAGATGTGAAGATGTTGCTGGCCGTCCAGCGCCATCTCACTGCTGTGCAGGATGAGAATGGGGACAGGTAAGTCAGGACTTTTGTATGATGGGTTGTTCTGGGTAGGGAAGAAGAGCATTGTATAATGCATATAGATGAGAGATAAAAATAATTTTTCAAATATATTGAGTCCTCTAACTGGAACAATCAAGAAAACTAATGTGTATGGTAACCAGAGCAAAATTTGCTGTTCCATCCTGCTGTCACCTGTTGGAATCTGTAATAGCTGGAGGACTCATCTGAGAGTGAATCTCTCTGGGCAAGAAAACTAAGATGTGTGTAGGTAATGGTACTTTTTAAAAAGACTTGCTTTGTTTATTGAAATAATAACAAGTCCTACCAAATCCCTGAAGCATTGTTATCGCAGCTGCATTTTTATAGTGACAGTGTACTCAAGAAAGAGCCCAAGAAAGGCAGCAACAGCAGAATGGTTAAGAGGGACTGGTCCTTCTTTCCCAGTTACTGGTGTCTTCTCTACTCCCTCTGCTAATGGTCACCAGTCTAAGACTGGTTCAGACTTTTGTGACTGCTCCAGCCCGTGTGTGGGAGTCGAACATTCCAGATACCATGCCTTCCATTCCTGCTAGTACTGGGATTGTATTTGCAAAGCCACCTGGCTTCTTTCTAAAACAGTTCTCTTAGTCCTTTCATGGAGACTTCTAAAATGATCTCAAAAGCCTATAAAAATAACAAGAGACAGCAGCCTTCACATTCAAGTCAAGTGCCTTATCTAAAACCTTCCTAAAATAGCATCAACACAGAGAAATCCTTTTCTGTGGAAGAGCTCTTGAGTGCTGTGTTTTAGACCTCAGTTTAAAAATTAAACCAAGCACTTAAGGAAAGTAACAACCTCAGGGTTTCAAACAGAGAGACCTTTGTTCTCATTCCTTGCAGTGTAACCAAGGATGTGGTATAACCACTGGCCTTGTTAGACAGTATGAGAGGAACCAGTACAACCTTCTTGGTATAAGGCCATGAACAGCAGAATGCTTTTTCAGGGTTAAATAATCCAGTTAGCATTCAGTCACGCACAACCACAAGAAAAAGCAGTTAACCAAGACAGGACAGCAGTGTTTCAAGTGGCATTTCTAGGGACCCGTTGATTTGAGAAGTCTAAGAAAATGTGCACATACAGGTTGGAAAGGAAGTGCTGATATCTGAAGGGAGGATTGTAGGAAGGGATGCAAGGCGAGGCGCATGCAGGTTTCCTCCTAAGACCCAAGCACACTCGCACAGGCAGGTTCTCAGAGAGGCCAGAGAGGTGGGACTTGGAGATCCTCATAAGAGCATAGGTAAAGGACAGGCTTTGGCCATCACAGCCCAAGTCTCTTGTTTATTTTTTTCTACAGCAATGTATTGTATATTTCAAAATAGCTAGAAGACAAGATAGGAAATGTTCTCAAACACAAAGAAAAGATAAATATTTGAGGTGATGGATATCCTAAATATTCTGATTTGATTATTACACATTGTATTTATCAAAATATCACATGTGCCTCATAAATATGTAAAATTATAATGTATCAATAAAAAATTTAAAAGATTAAGATGGCAAATTATACATTATGGGTTTTTGGCAAGTCTCTTGTTTTAATTCAGCTTGTCATATTTGGCCAATAGTCTGAATCCTGTGGCCATTAGTCATCATAGAAAATACAATAAAATATATATATATATAAAACTTCTGGTACTGGGGAAATTCCCATAAGGGTGTGAGGATTTGAGGGGGAGGGGGATTGTACTTCTGCTATGAAATGCTGAGCTGCACATGGAAATTTTCGGGCAGTTTTAGAAGTATGACCTTTTTCTTAGTGTATGTGCATCATGTCTGTGTCAGTTGAGGCCCTTTTCAGAAGTTTTCTTCCAGTATCACATTTCAAGAAGCAATAGTGAAACCCTGAGATCATCCATTTTAAAATATTTCTCAAGTAGCAAAATCACAATTTAGTTTTTTTTAGACTCCTCTGGGCCAGCGTTAATCCCAAGTATGATATACTTGCTATTGCTAAGGAAGAGGCCTGAGTTCAGTGGCACCTGATAGCTTTAGTTTAGAGAAGATCCAGCCTGCACCTTGTGTCCCAAATGTAGTGCTGCTGCAAGATGCTTTAGTGTGCCCTGCACCTCCATCTGTCCATTCTCTGGAGTGGTCATCTTCTTAGATGTTCATTTTCACGTCTTTAGAGCAGTACACATGTATCCCCTATGCAGGATTGTTTATGGGATTAAGAAATGACTTTGGAGTAAGACAGGCCTGGGTTTGAATTCCAGTTTCACCACTTACTGGCCTTGACTGAGTTATATGACGCCTACAAGTCTCAGTTTCATTAGCCAAAAAGTGAAGATAATGTAACCTACCTCATAGGATTATTGTTATAATCAAAAGACAATGTATATCAAATGTTTAGCATAGTCTGGTAAATCAAAGCTCCCAACTTTGACTTACCAGACTAGTAGCCACTTTTTAAATTATGGTTATTGTTTCTAATTAATTTTAATAGTATGTTTTTAAATAATTAAAAGAATTATGCTCCTTGGAGTGACTTTGACACCACCAGTATGTTCAGCCTCATTAGCCTAAGCTCTTAAGTTCCTTTTATCATTCTTATTTTTGTACCTCTACTGCATGCTAGGGCTGTGAGGCTGACTCAGACAGAGCCTGCCCCAGAGATGCTGACAGGAGAGAGGAGAAAAATGTATAGACAACTGCAGTTGCATAACCAAGCAGTAAATTTGAGAGGGACAACTTGCTCCACCTAGGAGGCTAGGAAAGTATTCTGAGGATGTCAGGCTTGAACCAGAATATAAAGGATAGAGTAGGCATTGTCCAGGCAGAGAAAAGGAACAAAAACATTCTAGGCAGAGGGAATATTTGTCAGAATATTTACAGGATTGGTGGGAAATACAATCACATTGTTTCTTCACAAGTTTACTGCAATAATTTTCTTCCAGTAGTTAAAAGCTTCAGCTTCACTCCAGTCTCCCCTCTTGGGATCTAGAAAGATCTTTTAAAAGCCACTGCACTGTATTTTGGAGTAGGGGCAGCAGGGCTAGGTGAGATAATTAAATTTTTCTGAACAATTCCTAGTGTCAGGCATTCATTTTCAATAGATCATATATATGTCAAGGGAAGTCATAGGGAACGGTAGAGGAGAAAACTGTCTAAAGCCATAGTGCAGAGATAAAACTGGGATTTAAGCTTAGGTCCTTCTGGGCTGGAAGCCTCAGTATGTTTATACATCAAGGAATCAGACATGAATGCTCCCAGAGGCCAGGCGGGTACCACCAATAACATAGCAGCCTTGGGTAGGCAGTTTGGGGGGATGGGTCCTCTGGAGATAGCATCCCACCTCAGATTCAATACATTTTATAGATTCAAAACATTTTAGGGCCAAATAAAACTAGGTGTGAGAACAGATTCCATCTTTAAGTCTAATCATATCTTGGGAATCTTCTTTTTCATTAACATTTTAGTTAATTATTGCCACTGTGTTTTCATTCCAGTGTCTTACACCTAGCAATCATCCACCTTCATTCTCAGCTTGTGAGGGATCTACTAGAAGTCACATCTGGTTTGATTTCTGATGACATTATCAACATGAGAAATGACCTGTACCAGGTAAGCAGAAATCTCAAGGAAAGAACCGAAGTAAAATCCATAGTTTCCTTTTTCTTTTGTATGTTTGGGTGCATGTTATTTTTAGTAATGTTAGGAGTAGCAAAAACGAAACCAAACTTTTGTGGGTAATATCTAAAATCCCATTAGTTGAGAATTTTACTTATGATTTAGGATCCTTTGATCTGTGGGTATAACAGCCATCAAGCCACAGTGAAATTCAACATCCCACTGGGGGAAGGCAAACTCTAAACTTTAGAAATCAAAGAGTATTTTCATTTAAGAGGGAGAAACTTAAGTATCACATCTGTCAAGAAAAATAAAGTTAAAAAAAGTTTGAAAAGCCAGTAATTTATAAGAATTTTGAAATCTACTGAAACATACCTTGACAACATCTAGATTAAATGTATATCAAATAAAGCATTTGAAATCACCACACAGAAAGGTTGAAAGTTTGCTTGAGGAGGAAAAGGTGTCTTTCAAAAGCAGAAAGACAGCTCCAAGTGAGGAAAACTGGGAACACCAGAGTTTTGCCCAAATCAGGTTTCTTCAGGAATTAATTAGGTGAGCTAAAAATACAAGGAACTGTTTTTTTCAGAGCTCTTCCAACACTGCAAAGGGAGAAGTTAGCTGGAGACACAGTGAGGTCCCCTGATGGGCATGTGCAGAATTCAGGGAGAAGCAAGTAGCATGGGAGCCCCTTGGGCAGAAGCAGAGCCTGGATGTTGGTGATGGGGGTCCAGTGACCCCAGCCAGCCTCTCTGGCCGAGTGACTGCACTGTCATGAGGCCAAGATGGGGTTCGGCTCCTGAGGGTTCCTCCTTCCTGCTCCCAATTGCTTTTCCCACCTCACTGTCTTTCCCCCACCCCCACCAGCATGCTGTATGGGGCTCCTGCCCTTGCCCACTTAACTTTGCATTTATCTCCTTCCCTTCATTGACCGGGAGCATCTTCCTCATCCTCCTTGGATAGACGGTTTGCTGGTTCAGGTGTATCTCTCACTTCAAAAATATGGCCAAGATCCTATGTAATTATCTATTTAGTAAAGATATTTGTTCCTGCTCTCTCATTTTCAAAGTAGTGATGTGAATCGTTATTTCCTCACTTTAAAGGAAAATGCTTTTATTATTTTAAAGAAAATTTATTAAAACTGCATTTTAGCTTTAAAGGAAATTAAAATATTTATTCCCATTCTTTAAAATGTGCTTTAAAGTACATTTAAAGCAAAACTACTAAAATGTTTATATGTGGCTCTTAATAGACTTTTCTACCTGGGACTAGGTAAAAAAAAAAAAAAAAAATAGGTTTCCTGATAGGGGAAAATGACCATTTTTCATTCAATGTAAGTCACTATTAGGGTTCTTCACTGGTTGTTGTGCTTAATGTCAAAGAAAAAATAAAGTTAGTGACTCTTCACTTCCTGTTAATATAAAATAACTAGTATGAAGTGTGATTGTAGGTTGACATTTAATAAGGATGTCTTCTTGAAACTTTCCTATCATTCTGGGGGTCACTGGTATTCAGGAAGTCATTTTGCCCGTAAAGCTTGATTCTCTCAGACTTTGGGACTGATCGTTCCTTGTAGTCATCACAAATATATGAAAAAAACTAGGAATGGGACACTGTGACTTGTCCTCTTTTCAAATCCTGCTTAACAGTCATATTCAAGGAATTGCTTATTTTATGTTTATTAATAGGATCTGCAAAGGACACAGCACAACAGGATGGGTAGCTGTGATTTTTTTTATATCATAACTCTTTACTGTATCATTTGGTTACATATGTTGAGTCTCTCCAGTGTGTTAGAGACAAAAACCCTGAAACTACCACCATTAATACTTCTATCCCTTCTGATCTGCGGATCTCAGAATGATACGTCCTTTGGTCCCCCCACCTTACCACCAGTCTCACTAACGGGCAGGGATTCTGCCTTCCCTAGTATGTCTTCTAGGTCTCAAACATACACCCAGTGGCAGCTTTGGTTTGAGAACTAGAAACTGCTAAGATTTGAACTCTTGATTATCTGTTGTAAAGGTTCTGTTGTAACTAATCTTAATGGAAAATGATAGTTCTCTAAACAATTTGGATTATTTAGCAATGATCTTAAACATTCTCCACAAATACCTTTCACTAATCTTAGTACATTTCCGTGACCATCTGTCATGATCAAATTCCTCTCCCCACCCACCCTCTAGAAACACTCAAAATAGTCCAAGTGCACAGAGTTAGGATTTTTCTGAAAATATTCTCTTTAAGCCTTTTTTCTCCTCTCACTCTCCTTCCTCCAACATAGACAAGCACTCCAGTGATTGTTTTATTAGTGTATGTTCCCATAAAACATTATTGGGGGATTTTATGTGTGTATTTTTGTGTTTAATGATAAACATATATATTCATTGTTTTTAAAATGGTACAGAAGAAGATACATTGGGAACTCAAAGTTGCCCACCCTGGCAATGCCCAGGTCCCTTAGCACAAATGTCACTATTGTGTTTATAGGTAGTTTTTCAAGTATTGGGCACAGATTTACATATACTTGAAATATCTGGATATTTTCGTATACTCTCACATGCAATCCACATTATGTTAAATGTACTTCTCTTGCCTTGCATTAACCTTTAAAATCTTTTAAATGTAATTATAGATTCAAAGGAGGTTACAAAAACATACTAAGAGGTCCTAGTATATACTGGGAGGAAACCAGAGTTCTTCACCCAGTTTCCCCTAGGTAACATCCTATGTAACTACAGCAGTATCAAAACCTAGAAACTGGCATTGCTACAATCCACAGATCTAATCAGATTTCGCCAGTTTTATACACACTCATTTATGTGTATCTGTATAGTTCTTTGTGCATGTATTTTTAAAATGCATAAATGGAATCATACTACATGTTACTGTATTTCTGCCTTCGCTGCTTATCCACACAATTCTATGTACAGCTAGCTTATTGTTCCTGCTCCTGAGGAGAATCCCATAGTATGGATCTTCCACCTATAACATCCTCATTTCCTAGTAGTAGACATTTTACCAACTTCTAACTTCCTATCTCAGTAGATAATACTGCAGTGACTGTCCTTACTTATGTCCTCTTGTGGATTTGTGTCAGAATTTCACCTGATACATACATCTGCAAGAGTTGGGTTGCTGGGACATTTGTATATTTGGCTTTCCAGAATGTCTTTTTAAGTCCCCATGCCCGTAGCCATAGCATGAAGGTTCCTGGATCCCCACATTGTATAATTGTTTAGGCATAATCCTTGAATTTAAGATCTAGAAGCCTTATATCATAGAAAACTATTGATTGGACTGTGGAATAAAATTTTTTTGAAAAAAAAACTCTGACTCATAAGAGTTTTTTTTTTTAATTAAATTTAATCTACAGATAATTTCTAATTCCTCAATGGTATACTGTCCTATAATTTCAGATCCTTTTTTTCCCACAATCTCATTCTCTTTCCTTTTCCCATCTCCCCAAGTAGCATTTAAGAAAACACAGATTAGTAAACAGATTAGTTTCTATTGACTTAGTTATTTTTGAGAGGAAGGCTCTTGGCAACAACAACTAAAGTTTTCAGGACATCATTTCAGGCCAGGGTGAAATGATGGTCCTAGAAAATGAAAGATATAAGGGAGAGTAATAAGTTGGCAAAAAGTAGATACTGGTCTGATATATTAAATAATCACTGTAGTTGAGATTTAGAGGACCCACCCATCATTCATCCTGCCAGTTCTCATATGCTGTAGTCACCTACACAGCTAGGAGGTTGGTGGCTCACCTGCTGCTGGAGCCAGTGACTGCTCAATGAAAAGGGAATTTTAGGCAAATTGGCACAAGATTGGCTAGATGTCATAGTTAGGCTCCTGTGAAATAAACTCATTTGTATAAACCTATATTGCTGTTCTGTCAGTGAACTTAGTTCTTTGAAAGATACTTTTGTGATTGTATGTCTTACTCATTTTTAAAAACACAAAATTTGCAAAACATCTTATTCGCATTCACCACCTTGTGGGCAGCATAGTCAAATGGACTACTTAAGTACCTATTAGGTATCAGCAGCTCACCTTTTTTATTCATCTGAGCCCCCTTAGTGAGATAGTTGTATTATCATGGCTATGTTATTTAGAATCTCATAACATCTTTTATGAAAGTGGGTAGGAGAGCTATATTGACTGGTTTCAGGAGCCAATTCATGGGACAGTATTTTTAATTTAGTAAATTTAGTTCCATGTCAGCATAGAATCATGGCACTTTTCTTAATTGGTTTCTACTGAGTACTTCATTTAAATTTCTTCAGTGAAAACATAGCCTTCATTTGATTTAACATAAAATTATCAGCTGAAGATAATTCCTACTAGAAATTTAAGGAAACTAAATTTACTAGGTATCCTCAAAAATCAACAATCAGTGGGTTGTAGTGAGAAACAAGAAGCTGTTAAGACTTGCAAATATAAAAATAATCCACTACCTAAAAACTTGTAAGTACATGAAGTGATGGATTTGTTACTTAGCCTGATTTAATAATTCTACATTGTAAACTTATATTAGAACATCACATTGTACCTCATAAATATATAAAATTACTATTTGTCAATTAAATTTAAAATCAAAATTTTAAAACCCAAATTATTGAATGGCTAAGTGTTAGTACAGCATATGTATTTCATTAGCATATGGTATGGGACAGCATAACTTGAGTGCCAAGGTCAGGAGTTAATCTAGGAATGAGAAATGTCCCTGCAGGATGGCCCCACTTATTGCAGTGACAGCTACCCAGCTGTGAGTTGTAAGTGTTCACCACTGACCAGTGAATCTCCTGCCCCTTTACTTTCCAGACACCCTTGCACTTGGCAGTGATCACTAAGCAGGAAGATGTGGTGGAGGATTTGCTGAGGGCCGGGGCTGACCTGAGCCTTCTGGACCGCTTCGGTAACTCTGTTTTGCACCTAGCTGCCAAAGAAGGAAATGATAAAGTTCTCAGTATCTTACTCAAGCACAAAAAGGCAGCACTACTTCTTGACCACCCCAATGGGGACGGTAAGAGGCAATCACATCATTGGTGTAACTTTTTCCGCCTTGTAAATACCTACTAGGTATTTGATAAATGTGTGTTGTTATTTGATTTGTATCCAAAAGGACTTTCCTTAGTGACCTGGAATTCATCATCTCTTTTGGGCATTTCTGTTGCTCACCAAAGCTAATTTTTTTTAAAGATGATTTGGAATAGTAGGAGGAAAAAGCAGAGGCCTGAGTAAACTTTTCATCTTGAAGTGCATAAAGCATCATTCATTCAGAGAATGTTTGTTTATGCCCAGTTTCTCCTGAGAACATAATAGGAGACTGTGGGTCTTCAAAGCAGAACAACAGATTTATAGTGCCTTTACTGTCCCTCCCTATGATCCAATTTTTGCTATTTCCTTCAGCTTCACCAAGGGCCATCTTGTGAGTAGCCATCCCATCCTGTGACTGTCCCTTTGCTTGGACTCTAGGTCTGAATGCCATTCATCTAGCCATGATGAGCAATAGCCTGCCATGTCTGCTGCTGCTGGTGGCCGCTGGGGCCAACGTCAATGCTCAGGAGCAAAAGTCCGGACGCACAGCGCTGCACCTGGCTGTGGAGCACGATAATATCTCATTGGCAGGCTGCCTGCTCCTGGAGGTGAGGGAAACGCTTATTTCCTTTTGCACTGAATTCCTGAGGGAGATTTAAGGAAATTTTCAAAGAATGAAGTCAGTAGCTGCTGTTCTCCCTACTGTCAACTCTATTTAACATTTATGAAGGGCTTCAGAGGAGCCCCTTCAGACATTCCCCAACCCCCACTCTTGCTTGGCATCTCTAATTGGGGATTTCTTCAATGACAGAGCCAGCCCAAAGTAGCAACCGGGCTAGTAATAGGACCCGAGGGGCCATGCACTCTCGGAGGTAGGGACAAAAGAGCAAAAGAACCTTCCACTAATGCTTTTCTGTGTGGGCTGGGTTGTAGGGTGATGCCCATGTGGACAGTACTACCTACGATGGAACTACACCCCTGCATATAGCAGCTGGGAGAGGGTCCACCAGGCTGGCCGCTCTTCTCAAAGCAGCAGGTAAGGTGGCCTGGCGGTCATTAATGAAAAATGTTGTCAAGAATGCAAACCCAACTTCAATAGAGCAGCCATGTTGCCTTCTTTAAGCCACAGATCTACTGCTGAAAAGCAAGGGCAAATAAAAATTATATGGCAAGTCATATTTTATCTGCCATAAGGCACTGTTTGGACTACTAATCTTGGGCTTTACTCTCACAGTCATGTTAGTTTTTACTTTCTGATTCATCTATTTGTTTGGGGTTTGATTATTTAGATTGACTCCCGTGACAAGGAGTCTTTTCAAAGTAGAATTTGATTCCTTATAGAATTCTGAGTAATATCAGTCTCAGATCATGTCAGAAGTCCCCAGAAGAAAAAGACTATTGGTATAAGAAATCATTTAAAGACTTCATTTTGAAAGAACAGTCTCTTAGAAATTGAAGTATAAGAAAAAGAAAACGGGCCGTATATTAAGACCCATTATGTGGAAGACACTAAAAATGGCTAGCACTTACTGACCTTGCCCTGTACCAGGCACTGTGATAGGCACTTTATGTGCACAGTCTCATTTAATGCCCAGTCGCCCTTTGGGACAAACACCATTATTATTCCCATCTTAGAGTCAAGGAAACAGACGAGAGACTACCAGATTCCATTCAGGGTTCCAGTAAGTGACAGAGCTGTGAGTCACGCTTTGGCAATGTGAGCTTCTCTTTACTTTATTCTCTCTACTATGTTTCTCTCTCCTATTTTGCTCATAGGTTTGCAGATGTTATTCCATTTCTAGTCTTGTGAAGTATAGAAAATTATCCATGCTTATCTTTGAATCTTCAGTGCCTTACATATTTAGAACCTCAAAATATGTGTAATGAAATTGGTATCTGAAGCCTGCCCTGACATATCTGATTTACTTTAGAGGTTTGTTTTTTTTTTGTTGTTGTTGTTTTTGTTTTTGTTTTTTTTTTTATTTAGAAGGTAGCTGCTTCATAAATTCAAGAAAACAAAGCAAATTAAAGATGCAGGAACTTTTTATTTGGGGACACCATATTTTTCTCTTGTTAAATTGAGCTTTTTCTTGAACAAGATACTCTGATTGCAGTGTGTATTAATAGTTTTAGAAGACACTGATTATAATTAAATGCCTTCAGACAAGAAGCTTTAACCAGCCAGAAGCGATGGCTCATGCCTGTAATCCCAGCACTTTGAGAGGCTGAGGTAAGAGGATCACTTGCACCAACGAGTTTGAGACCAGCCTGGGAAACATAGTGAGACCTTGTCTCTATTAAAAATTTTTAAAAGTAGCCAAGCATGGTAGCATGCGCCTGTAGTCCCAGCTACTTGAGAGACTGAGGTAGGAGTATTGCTTGAGTCTGGGAGTTTCAAGAGTGCAGTGAGCTACAGTGGTACCACTGCATTCCAGCCTGAGCTGTAGAGTGAGACCCCATCTCAAAAAGAAAAAGAAAAAATAAACTATAAATACCCTTTTAAAAATACTTTATATTGAATTCTCAGAATCCCATTAAAGGAATAGCAAATAACAGTTTCTCTGATATACAAATCAAGAAACTCAGATGAAAAACCAAAGTCCTAATTTTAATGTCATGGAAAAGGTCAGTTAAGGCTGAGTACAGTGACTCATGCCTGTAATCCCAGCATTTTGGGAGGCTGAGGTGGGTGGATCACCTGAGGTCGTGAGTTGGAGACTCACCTGGTCAACATGGCGAAAACCCATCTCTACTAAAAATGTAAAAATTAGCCAGGCTTGGAGGCAGGCGCCTGTAATCCCCAGCTACTTGGGAGGCTGAGGCAGGAGAATTGTTTGAGCCCTGGAGGTGGAGGTTGCAATGAGCCAAGATCTTGCCATTGCACTCCAGCCTGGGCAGCAGAGCAAGACACCATCTTAAAAAAAAAAAAAAAAAAAAAATTAGTTAAGGGATAACTCACTACTCCAGTCTTTGGTCCTGTAAAGTATTCATCTTAATTTCTCCACTGCCTTCATGGCAGGATTACATTTATTTATTTATTGCCTCATAGATCAGGCCAGAACTGGGAGAGTCAAATCAAGAAATAGCATGGAGATCCTTCTTTGCTTCCTACTAAGCACCCTTCTCTTATTATTGACCCATCTGATGTTCTCCCAGCAAGATACAAACAAGTTCCTCCCCCCAAAATGGCATAATTAAACATCAAGCTAAACACTCATAAAAAATAGTCTAAGTCTCTGAGAAGTAACTCTAGCTCTAGTCTTGGAGTTACATTGGTATTTTGTTATTTGTTTGTTGTTTTTGTTTTTGCTGGATGCTAAAGAGCAGACTAGATTTCCCAAAATATTTCAATAATTATATATCCTAGCAGGTTGGTTTGTTTAAAGATCAGAACCCTGGCATTGCCGTACCCAGGAATGAAACTGCCCATGCTGTGACTAGACGTCAAGCATCTTTGCTCTTTTGAGTGTGCAAGTAAAGGGGCTGAGAAATACACATTGTAATGCATAAATTTGAACAGTTAGGACCCTAATCCTGAGGGTGCACCCTAGTCACTGTAATCTGCTGTTCTTCTGCCCTCGGATTAAAGATGCGTCATTCAGTTGAGAAATATCCTATAGAATTAAATGTGAAAGTCAGAGTATTTGAAGTTTTGTTTTGTTTTTTTCTGAAGGTATCTTTGGCTATTTAGAGTGTTATTAGACACTTTTACAATCAAAGTAAATTATAATTTTAAAATAATTTATCTGGATATTCCAATAGAAACGTTTTATGCATTAAAAATTATCCAGGTGATTGCCTCAAGCTGTTACAGTGCTTTGCCTTTGGGAATCTGACCTCTGCAGACAGTTGGAAGTCAACAATATCTGGGTTTACTTAATACTGTGTAACCTAACTTCGCAGGAGCAGATCCCCTGGTGGAGAACTTTGAGCCTCTCTATGACCTGGATGACTCTTGGGAAAATGCAGGAGAGGATGAAGGAGTTGTACCTGGAACCACACCTCTAGATATGGCCACCAGCTGGCAGGTCAGTGCCGCTCCATCTGTCTGATGGCTGCCCCTGAGGGAGTCAGAGGTTCAGAAGTATAAGAACAGATGGTCTTCCTGGTGCTTTATTCCCCAAAGAACATGCCTTTTATTTTTAAGAAAGTCTGCTCGTCAGGGACCATTTTTATCTTGAAAAGCCCTATCCATGAAAGATCTAGGTCAGCTGAGTTCTAAGTATGAAAGTGTATGCCTAATCAGATCAGAGTTGAGATGTGAGAGAGGGTTAGAAGAAAAACACACAATTCACATGAAAGTTACCCATTCTGAACTCACACCAGCATTGTTACCATCTCAATTTCTAAAGCTAAGATAAATGTTACTGTTGGCTTACAACTTAGGTAAGTGATTTTAGGATATAAAAATAAACTAAGAATTCTTCGAATTTCAATAAATATAAACAGAGTAAATAGATTTAAAGCCCTCTTCAAAACTCCACAGGGCTGAGATCTGAAGGTATAAAGCAGTTACTAGGTCATTTGGCCCCAGGAAGAAGAGCCAGAGGGAGGAGGTGGGCAGCATGCAAGATCTCCAACATGACAAGATCGGTTCTTCCAGAGGCGAGAGCTGCTCCACTTCTAAAACTGCTCGTCTGCCTCCCACAGCCTATTTGTGTCCAGCTCGGTGATGCTGGCAGAGACTACATGGTTCTCCCTTTACAGTAGCACCTCATTTCCCCAGAAGGACTTGCCACAGAACACAAAAAGATGACCTACTCAGTGACCCCATGCTCTCCTTACCCAGGTCAGCCAGCAGCAGAGTGACTGCAGAGAACACCACAAATGCCTCTGCAGCTATGGAATTCTTTTCCTTTTAGCCTAAGACATTTCTGGACCCTCAGTTAAAATGTAAATATTTCCAGAAGGTTAACACTAAGCCTTGTGAACATCTAGACATCTCAGTTTGAGCAAGCTTACACATTTCATTCTCATCAGCCTGTTACTATGGGAAGAGGGGACACAGCTTCAGAGTTCTGAGTAGCTCTTCCCTAGCTTTAGGCCTCTGAGCAGATGATTGACATGGTGGGCTGGACAGCCTGTTCCTTCCAAAAGGCAGCAGCTCTGACACTCTGCAGGTTGGTTTGGTATTCTGACCCAGCTCAGAGAGTTTGCTCAGAGCACAGCTTCCAAGCAGCAAAGCCTCCACAGCTGTTCTTCTCCCAGAGGGTACCATATTCTTGGAGGATGGTCCTGACTCATCTTGCCATTCCTCCATCATTAGGGTACCAGGCCCTCCTAAGGAGGACATGCTGAGTTCTTTACTATAAAGAAACAGACTGCCCTAGTGGTCTCTTTTATGTATAACGTTTTCTGGTGTTTTTCTTGCCAACAGGTATTTGACATATTAAATGGGAAACCCTATGAGCCAGAGTTTACATCTGATGATTTACTAGCACAAGGTGGGTTGTGATAGAACCAGATTCTCTTAACCATTATATCCACACTATCATTTAAAGAAAAGAACCAGCATTATTCGGGGTCTACTGTGAAAAGCACATTTCTTATTTCAGAATCAAAAGATGCTGAAGGTAGATAAAGGAGAATATCCAGTTTTAATCTACTATAACTATATACTGCCTGCTACTCAGCTGGGCTTTGACTTTCAAGCTTGTTTGCTTCCACGGGAAGTTGAAGGGCAAGCACGGTGGCAATGACCAGTCCCTCCAGAGTGTCTATGTCAGGTTAGAACAAGCGTGTTCCTTCTTCATTTCCTTCAGGAGACATGAAACAGCTGGCTGAAGATGTGAAGCTGCAGCTCTATAAGTTGCTAGAAATTCCTGATCCAGACAAAAACTGGGCTACTCTGGCACAGAAATTAGGTCTGGGGATACTTAATAATGCCTTCCGGCTGAGTCCTGCTCCTTCCAAAACACTTATGGACAACTATGAGGTAACACATTACCTTACAGATTTAGCAATTTTCATTTGACTTCACTCTGTTAACATCTCTGGCCAGGTCATAATCTCCTTCCCTGTTCCTTAACTCTGAAGAAGAAAACCAGTTATTGCCCAAGGCCAGATTGGCAGCCCATCTTCCTAAGAATGCTGTTTTCAGATACCTTTAGATTTTCCCCATTTTTAAATACCTGGAGACTTCCTGTGAAAAATGCTACATAGAGGGTCAGGATTTTCACAGAATTTTGATGGCCCTGAGCAAACAATCGATTGTCATCCACATGCCTAGCTTTCTGTCCCCGAGAACACACCCCGTGCCAGGGCATTGTGTCATGTTCTGAGAGGTGACTCCTAGTGGAGCCATTACCTGGTAATTTTCATTTCTAAAAATAAAATGTAGAAAAGCATGGAGTGAAACTGTTTTCTGTTAAAAATTTCATGGTTAGCTTTGTTTCTTTCTGGATTTTAGAGCTTCAGCTTACAGAGGGAGACTGCGGAGATGTCACTGTGGGCAGAGTTTCCCTGCCTCAGCGCTTCTCTCGCTGTCTCTCCGTGCTTACTGCAAACCACTTCTGTGATTTCCTGAGTGGTCTTTGAGCCGAAACAGGAAACTTGATTCGAAGACTGTACTTTCTTAGTGGCTCTTCTCTGCTCTTTCCATTTCCTCCAGGCTCCTGCATGGAGGAGGCAGCATGGAAGAGGGAAGGGTGGGCTGTCAGTGCCTACAGCCTGCACTGGGACTCGAACACAGGAACATGCTCCTCCTAACTTTCTTTCTCACAGGTCTCTGGGGGGACGGTCAGAGAGCTGGTGGAGGCCCTGAGACAAATGGGCTACACCGAAGCAATTGAAGTGATCCAGGCGGCCTCCAGCCCAGTGAAGACCACCTCGCAGGCCCACTCGCTGCCTCTCTCACCTGCATCCACAAGACAGCAAATAGGTAAAGAAAAAGAACAGAAAAGGCCATGGAGATATTTCCCAGCTCCCCTAGGCTGGCGTCTTCAGCTCTCGAGATATGATGTGGCAGTTTCTTTTCTCTCTCATCTTCTCAGTACACTTCCCTGTGTGTCTGTCTATCCCCTGGGTTCACCTTCTGCCTCTCTTGATAGTACGATTCAGATGAGGGGGCCGCACCCTTGGAAAATCATATTGACACATGGACTACTTAATAAACACTAAATAAATACTAAAAACAACATGATGTGGGTGATTAAGGTAACTATTATTTCTCTCGTGTCTTAAATTTAAAGAGAGAACAAGATACACAGAGAGATCCATCTCCTCCTTCCTTTGCCTCTTCTCTCATGCTCATAACACTGACCTTGTCCCCCACCATATTTGGGACCACATGTCTTGCCACCAAAAATCCCACAACCATATGGAATGGACTGTCAGCGCAGCCCAGTAGTCCTGTATTTCCTACAATTTTATTCTCCCACTCTGTAAATGGCCCTTCTATGCTTTCTGGTTCTAAACCCCCAGTACTCTCTCCCTCCCCTTACTCATGCAGCACGCTTACTTCACGCTCTATTGTAAACAGAAGAAACCAGAACCCTCTCATCTTTGCATGAATTGACAGCCCACCTGTGCCTGTGCCCACATTGGTGGCCTTCCATCCAGGCTTGGTGGGTTAAATTTATGTGCCCAGCTGAGGAGCCACCTCTCCCCTGAGTCTACCCCCTTCACCTTCCCTAGGTTCTTGTTCCTGTTAATTCTTACCTCTCTCCCTGTATTAGCCATTCTTCCTCCCCGTTCTCCCACTAGATCACCTAGCAAGCATGTCATGATTTCCTCATCTTTAAAAACAAACACACCAAAACAATCACCTTCTTGGTCCCACATCCCATTTAGCTACAGTCCAATTGCTCTATTCCCCTATTCCCCTACACAGCGGAGCTCCCCAGAAGAATTTGTTTAGAGTTGTTCTTTCCAGCTTGCCACCTTCTACCCCCGTGTGATGTCCTGCAGTGGGGATCCCATCTGCACCACTCCACCAGGCCTGCTCTCCTCACAGTGACCAGTCACCTCCTTTTCACCTCGACCACTCACAGAGTGTCATGGTTGACCCCTACCCTCCAACTTCAGACCATCTCCATTCCTGGCTCCTCCACAACACACTCCCCCTGCCTGCCTCTTCCACACTCACCTTTTAAAGTCCCAGCCCTCGAGGGTCAGTCCTAAATCCTCGCTGTTTGGTACCTCACCCAAGCCCAATACTGGCCACATGTGTCAGAAGCACTGCCATCTTCCAGGAGGCTAAGACAAAACCCAAGATTCTCAGGAGTCCTTTCTGGCATGAATCACTTCATATGTGACCCATCAAGCGTCACTCCCTGCAGCCACCACGCTGGTCTAGTCCCCCATCATTTCCTGCCTGGATTCCTTCACAGTTCCCACTCAGGCCCCTGGTTTCCTTCCTGTCCACCTCCCTTCAGTCCACTCTCTGCCCAGCAGATGGTGCGATTCTTTCTAAAAATTAGTGACATTTTGTTACTTCTGAGTTATACCCACCCGCCCCGTTCATTGAATCATTCATTCAGCAAATCCTGACTGAGCATATACTGTGTCTCTGCTTTACTCATTCGCTTTCTTAAACATTGCTTTGGAAGCTCTTCCTCCATACTGCCCTTCCACTCCCAAGTGTTTTCTCTGCTCCCGTGGCTCACTAGTCTGATCCAGCCTTTGGGCCTTAGATCCTTCTCTTCCCGTTCCCTGGGAAGCTCTTAATTGGCTGGCTCTTTCATGCCCCTCAGTTTCAGCACTCATCTCACCCTGCCGGGGGCCTTCCTAAGGGAGTAAGGGCAGACATCATTGTGTACACTTGACAAAGGAATAATGTGTCCACTGGAAAACACACGCAACCTCCTGTGTCATGACCCAGTGCTCCTTCTGCACAGATATTTAAAAAAAAAGAAAATACTTTTTTTAAGTAAATACCTAAGCATTAAGCACTTAATTTGTAGTTATTTTTAAGATATCTCATAGTTTCTAGCACGTAATACAAAATAAAGATTAAATCAATCAATCAATACCAAGACGCTAGTCATGCCACTGGCATTAAAGTCTTGATATTCTCCTATTGGAACTTGATACATAAGAAGATAGCATTTTGATTAGTGTATATCAGATTTCTGTTTCCTTAGTCACTGTCTCTGAATAGGAAATAATTCGCCTTGGTCACATCCTAAGGATATTTATCAATAAGGGGAATTCAACCTGATTTTCCAGTCTAGACTCATTTTCATCAAAATCGCGTTACTTTTTTGCTACCAAAAATGTTTTCAAGGCAGTGTATACTGTAATAGCATATGAAGCCCAGAGAGAGAGCTCATTTTTAGTTCTTGCTTCTGTCACCGATTTATTTTGCCGAGGTTCAACAGTTTCCCCAGCTATAAAATAAATAATACAGTGGTTGGAAAAATACACCTGATTTCTAAGGGGGAAAAAAGGTCCGCTGTGAGTCAAGAGAATTCAGAAAGGATTCTCATCAACACAAGACTAGATGGCAGGAGGAAAACGTGAAAGCATTCGGCTAATTCTGACATTTGGCTAATTCATAACATCCTCGCAGTATGTCCCACGGTATCTTCTGCCCTTCCCACCACGGTGAGCAGTCGTGACAGTGGGGGCGGTATCGGTGGGATGTGTGGCTGGCAGAAACCAGTGGGCGAGAGTTGTCCACAGAATAGTCCATGAGCTTTTTAGAGCCAAACTTGGAGCCCGTCTGGAGGGTAGAGCGTCTAAGAGCAGAGGCTTTGCCTTGTCTCGGCCATTCCCCCGCTGAATTTGTGCTTTCTCCCCTCAGATGAGCTCCGAGACAGCGACAGTGTCTGCGACAGCGGCGTAGAGACATCCTTCCACAGGCTCAGCTTTACCGAGTCTCTGACCAGTGGTGGCTCACTGCTAACTCTCAACAAAATGCCCCAGGATTATGGGCAGGAAGGACCTCTAGAAGGCAAAATTTAGCCTGCTGACAATTTCCCACACCATGTAAACCAAAGCCCTGAAATTCCACTGCATTGTCCACAAGAAGAAAGCTGAAGCGCATCCAAAGGTGCTCAGAGAGCTGGCCTGCCAGAATCATTCTCGATTTAATGCAAGGCCTTTTCAACTTGGCTTCCTTTCTTGGTTCATAAATGAATTTTAGTTTGGTTCACTTACAGATAGTGTCTAGCAATCATAGCACTGGCTGAGCGGATGCATCTGGGGATGAGGCTGCTTACTGAGCTTTGCCGGCCGCTGCTGGATCACAGCTGCTTTCTGTTGTCATTGTTGTTGCCCCTCTGCTACGTTCCTGTTGTCATTAAAGTATCACTGTCCCCACCTGGCATTCCTTCTGACCATCCACAGCATCCTTTTGCATTCAAATTAAGCGTTAAGAAAAGGGATATTTTAAAATGAAAGTCACTTGTTGTGCAATTTAAAGAAAGGTGTGTTACTTTTTCTAATGTGGTTCTCTGATTTAAAAAAAAAAAAACGTACTTGTCAATATTTAAACATGGTTACAATCATTGCTGAAAATGGTATTTTCCCCCTTTTCTGCATTTTGCTATTGTAAATATGTTTTTTAGATCAAATACTTTAAAGGAAAAAAATGTTGGATTTATAAATGCTATTTTTTATTTTACTTTTATAATAAAAGGAAAAGCAAATTGATGACCTCACCTTGTTTGATCTGTGCAAATACTTTTCTAAGATGCTTCCTTATAATCATGGGATGATTCCTTAACCCAGTTATCACATTCATATTGCCTATTAGAGTCAATTTTTAAATCTAGACATGAATAAATAATTATCAGAAGGAAAATGTTTAACCTAAGATGAAAGCTTGGTTTATTAAATCCTTACCCAGCTCATCTTTAGAATGTACCACCTCTCTTTCCCCCATCTCGTGCAACGCTACACCTCTTCAATGTCTTCACACCTCTGTGATCAAGTATTGAAATTCCATATAGCATAGGGCCCTGAACTAGGAGCCTTCTAGCATGAAGCTTTGCTGAACTGCTTCTCAAAGAGTTGGGAATAAGGAAGATGAAAAAAGTGAGTTTTGAGTAAGGTGCTAAGGTCGACATTGTGACACACAACTAGGATTCCCCTTTGACAAAGGACTGGTCTCGGCCAGTGCACTCTGTCAGCTTCCTCAGAGAATGCCTTTGCTGCAGAGAGCCATGTCTTCCTGGGCCACATCCATTTCCACAGTGGCACCCATGCAGCTGTGACCAGTGTGGGTATATGAAAGCCTGTCCAACCCAGGACAATGCCAAAGGGCTGTTTTAAGCTTCAGGATTCCCATGAGAGTGGCTGATGCTGCATTGCACTCAACTTCTCCCTCTCCCCATCCTGCTTACTCTCCCACCCTTTCATAGCTGTAAATCGCGAAGAAACTCCAGAAAAACATTTAACACATACATTTCCAACTCAGAGTCAGTTTCCCCGAGAACCTTGCCTACACAGGTGCTGGGAACCATGCATAACAATTTGGCGCAACATGTGGAGTCGTTAATCTTGGAAAGAAAAACCAGTTTACGGAGAAGGAAATTGAGACTTAAAGAGTTCAGGCAGACCATAGCTAAGCTGCTTCTGAGTTTACACCCAGCGCTGTCTAGCTCCGGAGCTCATGATGGGACATTTTCTTGATGAGAAAACAGATAAACATTGAGTCCAGAAGTAGGCTCCAAACTATATAGGAATTTAGTATGTGATAAAGTAAAATTTCAAATCAATAAGAAAAAGACGACTATTCAATGTGTTTGTCTGTTCTCACGCTGCTGATAGAGACATGGCTAAGACTGGTTAATTTATAAAGAAAAAGAGGTTCAATGGACTCACAATTCCACGTGGCTGGGGAGGCCTCACAATCATGGCAGAAGGTGAAAGACGCGTCTTAGGCAGCAGCAGCAGGCAAAAGGAAAATGAGGGACAAGCGGAAGGGGTTTCCCCTTACAAAGCCATTAGATCTCATGCGACTCAGTACCACGAGAACAGTACGGGGGAAACTGCCCTCATAATTCAATTATCTCCCACCGGGCCCCTCCCACAACACGTGGGAATTATGGGAGCTATAATTCAAGATGAGATTTCAGTGGGGGCACAGCCAAACCGTATTACTCAATAAACAGAGGTCCCAACTGGCTAATCACTTGAAAACAATCCATCTGAACCCCTGCCTCCCTCCTTTCATCAAAATAATTTCCAAATATATCAAAAATTCAGCCACAAAAATATTGGAATTCCTAGACATCATTGATAAATAATCTTGAAATATGAAAGGCTTTTCTAAGCAGAACTTTTCACTGGCATGAAAGCGGTTTAGGTTCTTCATTTTACAGCGTGTCTCAAATAAATCGAATCTTAAGGAAAATTCTACTTCTGTTTTCTATTACATTGCCATTTCTCCACCCCTGCCCAGCCCCATGATTCCCCCTTTTGAAAGCTGTTTCTGTAAAGTGAAAAAATACAGCTCTTACTTTCCTTAATTCTTAGTTTTCCAACAGGCAGCCCATGCCTTCACTCCTCTGCCAGTTCCTCTCTAAGACAGATCATTGTTTTCCAGCTGGCCACTGCAAGGCCTCCTGTCTTACAGTATGAGGCTGACACTCCTCCCGCTGAAGGAGGGGGTGCCTGGTTCCTTCTCTGAGAATCTAAACAGACCTGTGACAAGAATGGAAGAGATGCTAAGTGACTTCCAACGGTTAGGTCATAAAATGAAAGACACCTTCTGCCCCATCATGCTGGGCCCTCTCTCTTAGAAGCTGGTCATTGTGTTCTGAGGGAGCCAAGTGGACACACGGAGAAATCAAGTGCAGGTGTTCAGTCCGCATCCTTACTGAGGCCCCAGCCAATGCCAGCATCAACCACGAGATGTGTAGGGAGTGAAGCTTTCAGAAGATTCCAGCCCTCAGCCATTGAGTCACCCCATCTAGCCTTCAAACTGCCTCAGCTGATGCTGCCCAGAATAGAGACAAGCTGTTCTGCAGAGCCCTGCCCACATTGCAGATTCGTGAGCAAATTAAATAATGGTTGAGGTTTTAAGCCTAAAGTGTGGAGTGGATTGTCACCATGCTCCAGGTTTCCAACTTGACAGCTCACCTACCAGAAGTTCACTTGAAGAGAAGCTGACTTGAGGAGGAGGAACAACTAAATAACTCGTACCAAGATAGAACAATCACATTCCCCTTCTTTCATAAGAAGCCCCATTTCTCTTCTGTCCCAGAAACTGACTCTTATTCCTCCCAGATAGTAGTGCTGGCCTGAACCTCTGTGTGGTGCTGCAACAGCAAGGCCACCAGTCCTTGTCTGGGTCTCTGTGAAAGGAGTATCTTTCATATTGTACCAGCAGATGGAGATAAACCAAAAGGAATGCAGGCGATCAGGTGGAAAGCTATAATGGGCCTGAAATAAACCTTCCCAGAAAGCTCGTGTCACAGCAGGAGGCCATTTAAAAATAGCTTCCTCAGAACTTCAGTCATTTTTGAGGTTTCTATAACCCAGACTTTTTCAGGATCAGCAGTCTTTCTTTTCAGCAGAATGAGGCCCTGCTGCTGCTCATTTACCTACCTGAGTCTCCTGCAGTAGCTGAATGTGGCACAGACATTCCTGGTCACCACTGTGGAATGCAGCCACGCAAACTGGACTTTGTACATTTTTAGCAGACAAAAAGGAGGAAGGGAAAGATCCAGCCAGCTTGGAGCATTTATTACATGCCAGCCCTTTCGGATTAATAATTTCTAATGATAATTCTCAAAACACCCCCAAGAGGTATATATTTAACTGCAGTTTACAATAAGGAAATGGATGATCTAAAGTTATTAAATAACTCACCCCAGATTCAAATGCAGGCCCATCTGATTCCAAAGACTATTCTTTAGTGATGTTTACAGTCCTGTGATAAAAAAAAAAAATACTTTATTGAAAAGAGAAAGAAAAATGCGTGCAGACCTGTACAAAGATGATGGTGTCGTCACGTACCCAGCCAAAATGCAAAATGAACCCAAAGTATAACCAAGAGACCATACTGCTTGGAGACTTGATTTTCCCCATAATAAAAGAGGTAAGGATGCTTAAATATGAATTATTCATCAACTGGAAGTTATCACATTTCTTTCTGCCTCCTATTTTGTGCTTTTGGAGGAAATTCTCTTTCTGATGTGTGCTTCCCTAGGGAATGGACATGGGAGGCACAGGAGTCAAAAGAGGATGAAATTAAAATTCTGTTTATTTTTTTGAAGATCACAGAACTTAGGGCTGGAGAGGATCTTAAAAAGATCACCTTCCTAAACCATCCAATTTTTATCTTTTTATGAACATCTACAGAGTGAGTGCATCTCTTCCCCACTGGCCACACTATGGCTGGCTGCATCATGTAAATACCAGTCCTAGAGACTACAAGTTCCTGTCCATTGGTTTCCCAGGTTTGTGATTTGGTTTTGGGATTGGGGGGAGACACTGAGGAGAGGCTTGAAATTCAGTGGATCTTCTTCAATTGCTATAGCTCTCATTATGTCCACAATAGCCTTTTTCTGTTACCGTGCACAAGTTAATAGTTCCACGAGTTTTTCAAGCTTCTTAAAATGAAAGGGAGGAAGGGACTGAGAGAGCATCATCTTACTTCCATCAGCTAGCTTTTTCACATTGATATCGCTTTCCAAAGTAATTATTTCATTGAACTATCACAAGAGTCTTCAAAGTATAAAGACATGCTTCCCCAGGGAATAAACGTGGGAGGCACAGGAGTATTCAATCAATATTTCTTGGGCATCTGTTGCTTGTCAGGCACTACAATGGGGTGGTTATGAGGAAACTGAGGTACATGAGACTCATGACCACAGGATCACTTGACTCCAATACCAACACTGTATCAGGGTCAGGGGTGAGTAGTGTCTCTCTTCCACTTAGCCATGCAGGGATCCAGGCTGACAGTCTCTTCCTCCAACACTTGGCTCCTGAGGTCTTACTAGGGCTCCAGTCAGCCAGGTGAAAAATGCTGAGTGTATGTGTGGGAGTTTTGAATGTGTCACCTCTTCCCACATTGTGCTGAAGAAAACCTTCAGTCCTTTGGTCACACTAAGAGCAGCAAAGGTAGAGGGGTGATCTACTTCTGTTCCCAGTATTAAGAGAGCTGTTGATTTTGGAACGGGTGACAGTCTTTGGCACAGGTCATAATCCCTTCCCTGAGGGTGGCTGAGCCATAAGATTCTTTCTAGTTCCAGCTTGTATGCAGACATTCACTCTGAAAGCCACCTGCAATCATGGTAAATGGCCATCACTAATGGCAAAATCGTGTCCTAGGATTAAGCATGAAGACTGCATTGTAAGCACAAAGTCACAGTTTATCTTAAGGAAATCCTCAGAGATGATTAAGGATATGAGGGCCATTAGGCTGGGGAAGAGTTACAGCAGCTGCATTTGTTGCCCTTGCACTGATTTACAGAGACCTCTGCTCGCCAACGTTCATGCTCTATAGT